CAATCTGGTATCATTACAATAAACATGATGAAAACCAATGTCCTTGCAGAAGCAGCCCCAGATACCATCTTACCAGATTTTGATATAACAATCTGTGATACACCTCTAGAACAAGTAAGCATTTTCCATACATAGGCAGCCTTTTATCAAACAAGTGCAACTCAGAAAAGGATGTGGAACACAGAACTGGAGATGCAGATGAGGCATTTGGAAAGCTAATCAAACGTGTTTTCAACAACAAATTTCTCAATTTAACAACAAAAATTATAGTTTATAATGCTGTTGGCATTTCAACTTTACTATATGATTGCCAAACCTGGACTCTGTATTATCGCAACATCCACAAATTAGAATGTTTTCACCAGCAAAAGTTTTGTTTAATCTTGAACCTCAAATGCAAATACTATGTGACCAACACCAAAATTCTGAAAAGAGCCAACAGTCAAAGCATCAAACCGTTGATCATTAAACACTGTTTTCGATGGTCACAACAAGAATGGCAGAGTGAAGGTTTCCACATCAAATCTTATTCAGGGAACTCACTTCAGGGAAAATACCACAGGGTTGTCCTCTTCAAAGATACAAAGACCAACTCAAAACAACACTGAAAGTCACTGGACTTGAGCCTAAATCTTTTGAAACACAAGCTCAAGATTGTACCAACTGGTGGTGCTCCATCACCCTCAGAACCCCAAAACTTTGAAGCCACCAAAAGAGAAAAGGATGATGTTCAACAAGAGAGAAAGGCTTCATCCTCCATCAACATTACCATGCAGTCAATGCCATTAGCTCTTCCATGTACGAATTGGTTTACTTAGTCATCAATGTCACCATCATAAAGGAAGCAATATAGCAAAGAAGAAATTAAATTTTTGGATACACAATAAAGCCTACAATAATCATTTCAAAGCAAGCAGCCTCTTTGAGGGTGAAACCATTCATGACTGGTGAGAAGTCAGGGCCTGATCAGTGATGATGTAAATTTACTTAGCTTAGTTTTCAAGGGCATTTTGTAAGAAAACGAGCACAAGAGACATGACTGGAACTTGAACCCTACCTTACAATTTCATTTTCTGTGCCAGTAATTGTTATGCAACCTGCATATCCAGTTTCTATGTTATTCTCAGAATGCAATATTTAATGGAAATATTTTTGCTACCTTCTATGGTTTGGCTTTTTATTCTCCCCATACAGAAAATAAAAATGGTTTTGATTTTAGCAAAGGCTAATAGGGAAGCCCCAAAACGCGTCTTTTTTTTCACAGCTGGAAGCCTTAGTTATAAATTCTGCTACCTTATATTTTCTCAAAACTGCCATAATGTAACAAACAATATGTGGGTTACACAAAGTAATAAACAAATCATAAAAATGTATGATGATTGCCTAAAACATTGCTATCCAAACATAAACATAAATAATTATTAATCCAGATAAATATATTTATAAATCTAAGAGGTAAAATAAATACAAATAATTATTAATCTAATAGGTAAATAATTATAAATAGGTAAATAATTATAAATAGGTAAATAACTATAAATGATTGCAAATCTTAATAAATAATTATTAGTCAAAATAAATATAAACATAATGGAAGGAAGATTTATTCTTCCATTTGTATTTCCCCCATTATTGGCAGTATCATATTCATGATATAACAACACCACATTTCAGGAATGAAATGGAATGGCTGAAAGAAAAAAAAAATGGCAAACATGCTGAGTTTTCAGACAGACTTTTATACTACTAAGATATACACAAAACCATATATACATATATACACGTGTCAGACACAGATATTAATATATCACATATATCTGCACAGCAAAGAAGAATGTAAAGAGAAACAAAAAGGAAGGGGTTTACATATAATATAGAGATATTCCTGTGCCTGGAGAAGCCATGTTTAGGATTCCAGATTCAAATGGGCTGGATTTATCTATGTCCCAAAGATGAATCCAGCCCATATAATTTCAGAAATGGATTTGTAAGCTGCAGGGGAGGCAAATTTAGCCTCTGTTCAGGCTATGGGTGGGGCCTTGGCTAAAGAAAGCAACCTTTCAGTTTGCCTGCTGTAAACAAACTGAAAATGACTGTTGCTCTCATCACTGTATGAAGTGATGTTCCTAAGTGGCTGTCATGTAACCCATGTGACTTGTCTCCACAAAAGGGGGATAAGCACCTTTTGTATCCATATATAAAAGATTATAAATTTAATATGTAAGTAAATATAAATAGAAATAATTACAAAATAGATAAATTGATATATTTTTTTAAATCATATCATCCTATACAACACAATAAAGCGACTAAGACACAAGGGCTTACTGGGTATGGAAGAAGAGACACATTAGGGAGCAAGTAAAATAGAAGGCAGTAGATAATGAGTGACATTGCATTTAAATTTTTGAAGTTCAAAGTTGACTGAAAAACATGAGCCAGAAGGTTTCCATAAGTGAGAAATGTAAGAAACGATACTGTTATCATAGAACTTACAGTTACATCTAGCCAATCTGGTTGTAAATTGAGGAGACCTTGTTGCCAATCTAGTACTATGCTTAAATTCGTAAAGTCCAGGTACCATAATGAAGAGCTTATCTGAACAATTACCATGAAAGTATTTATAGAAAAGGCACAGGGAAGCTAGATCACCTTCCAATTTCACTATATCGAAATGATCATAATTATTACTGAGACAGGTGTAAATGGTTGTCGTCTTCAGCAAAGATGCTAAGCTGAGAACCAATGTCATCAGGAAGAGCATTGACGAAACTTAGGTACAAAGTAGGTACAAGGATAGAGCCCTGGGGAGCACATGAATTAGTACAAAAAGATCTTGGAGTAGCCGTTCAGAATAACTTCCATTTTGCAATTAGATAAGAAAGACCAAACCAGTTCAAAAATTTGACCTGAAATACCATAGTCTTTCAATTTATGTAGAAGACTGGTATGCTAAACTCTGTCAAATGCTTTTGAGATGGCCAAAGCAACAGCCTGAGCTTCACCAGTCTTATCTAAAGCTTGATAAACTCAGCAATAATTGTTAGAACATCAGCAGTTGAGCTAGTGAATCGAAAGCCATACTGCTTGTCTGAAAGATTGCCCTGCAATATGAGATGCTTAACCAATTCAGAGTTGATTAGTGCTTCGAGTAGTTTATCAAAAGTGGGTAGAAGGTTAGTACGCCAGTAGTTCAAGGGGTCAGATGGTTCACCTGAGTTCCTAAATACTGGGACAACAGAGGAGGATTTCCAACAAGTAGAAAAGCAAGAGACAGTCAGGCATTTATTGTACAGATTAAAAAGATAAACAAATCTAATAGGTAAATAATAGTTTTAACATACTTCCTAGATCATGGCATCAAAGTTTTAACATACTTCATAAAGCATAGCATCAAAGTTTTAACATACGTCATAGATCATAGCATCAAAGTTTTAACATATGTCATAGATCATAGCATCAAAGTTTACAATAGTCCCTAATTCAAAGTAGAACACATTGAGATAGTTCACAGCAGCATATTTTTTTCTGATTTCACCCCCAAACAAGGCAGTAAATCCACTAAGACAAAAGGAGTTACAGTGTGCGAAAGAATTAAGAATAGAAACCTTACTAGTTAGTGGGAAGAGAAAAGAGTAATCAGGAGGACAATAATGAGCAATTGACATTACATTTAAATTTTTGGAGATTAAAGTTAGCTGGAAAACATGGAGCCAGAAGTGAGTTCAACAAGCGAGAAGTGCGAGAACAGAAACTGTTAGCAAAGAATTTATGGCTCCATCTAGCCAGCTCAACTGTAAATTGATGAGATCTTGATGTCAGTCTAGTAATGTATTTAGATTTAAAAAAGTCTAGGCACTATAGCAAAGAGCTTACCTGAACAATTACCATGAAAATATTTATAGAAAAGGCACAGAGAAGAAACCTTAGGGTGGTGGGAATGTGACTGAAACTAAGCCACCAGATCAGGACCGATAATCTTGCTGATTCTTCTTTGGATTTTATCAAGGAGCTCAAAGTAAATGATAGGGGCACCGGATCATATGTGGCAGCAATATTCTAAGCATGGGTGAATGATAGACTTATAGATATGTATGATAGATTCTGGAGAGAAAAATTGTCTTGCAGTCAATCAAATTTCTTAGCAGCTGATCTAGTGATGGATAACTGCTGAAATTGCAAAATTATCTATCAGTGAAATTTCCTTTTTTAATCTGAAAATTTCATAATACAGTTTAAACAATTGTTATAAACCTAAAATGTAAAAAGATTACACAAAATAGTGGGTATATGCAAATATCCCCAGTAATAGGGTTTAACAATATGTCATGTTAGGAATATCACCAGTTAATAGGAAAGTTATAGGAGTAAGGAATATGTCCCCATTATGGGAATTATTATAGCCATGATATAATGACACCTTTTCTCATGGACAGAATGGAATAGCTGAAAGAAAAGAAATGACAAACATGCTTTGTTCTTTGACAGTTTTATACTAAGTGATGCACAAAATTACATACACATATTTACATTTATCACACGTAGAAAAATTATAACATGTATACAACAACTAGAACCTTACTTGTAATATTATCTGCTATGACATCAATGAGTACATAGCCTGCAAACAAGAAAATGGTGTGTCGGGGTTTGACTCAAATTGAGGAATGTGTACTGGAGATAGTTTCTATATCTGGTAAAGATATATGTCTACAGGAAAACAGCACCATGGGCTTGTAAGCTGCATCATGTGGCAGCTGGCTGGCCCGGACAGAAACCTGGGTAGAACTTGACTCCAGGCAGTTAATTGGTGGACAGGCCACACTCATCACTCTATGAAATGAGGTCACTAAGCAGCCATCACATCACCCACATGACTTTATCTTGACCAAAGGGAGATAATCACCTTCTGTATCCCTACACCAGCAGATTTTTAGATTAGGGAATTGAATTAAAAACTGAATACATAATAATACATAAAAAAAACAAAAAAGTATTACCCTGGAAAACTTTCAGCTTGCTTGAGAAGTTATCTGTTCCCAAATCTCCAATCACCAGTTTCCAGTTCCCATCAGCGTGAATGTCTGATAAAGCAATACATTGGGTGAAGGTGTACAGTGAGGCTAAATTGTCATGGTGGGCATCCAACCATTTAGATTTCTCATCAATTCTGAAAAGGTTTTTAAGAACAATATTATTATTTTTAAGAATAATATTATCATTTTAAGAACAATATTATCATTTTTCTGAACAATATTAACAACAGACTAAATCACAGCTTCTAGTTCAAAAAGATAAAAGAAAACAGAAACAAAAAAAGAAACATATAACACAATCAGATAACTGGATGAGTGTGTGTGAATATATATATATATATATATATATATATATATATGTGTGTGTGTGTGTGAATAAAAACTAAAAGAAAACTTTTCTTTACTAATGTGTTTTGTCATCTGATGGACTTTACCAAGATAAATGTAAGGATTTTTTTACAATATACTAAAACTCTAATCTTGTATGTGTGTGTGTGTGTGTGTGTGTTCCAAAGATACAGCTAAAACGATAATAACTCACCCAATTTAGAAGTATATTGTATCTTGAAACCCTGCCAAGTGAGTGTCAAGTTTTATTAAAATTAGGCAAAGGATTCTTCAACTATTCCTATTTTTCTGTTTTTATGGCATATTTAATAGAATATTCATTATCTGAGGTTACTATTACTTCAATGGAAAGACCTTTTAAAATACATTTTTTATCCTGGACAGCTTTTGAAAGGAACCCAATATGTTTATGGGTGGTCTAGTGTATTTATAAATATTATTAGCTGTTTTAAATTTTTAAATTTAAGGACGTAATAGGATCTGACAGCTTAGTTGATTCAGTTATGAAATTTTGTGCAATAATCTTAAGTGGCACTTAAGACCCGCTAGTGATTTACAAAGGAGGTCACATATGGAGCAAGAATGAGGATTGTGAGATGAGATCACTGTTAGATTGGCTGACCTTTTAGATCTTGCTTTCCTTTCTTGAAGATGATTCAGACAAGCAGATTGAAAACTGCTGAGTCCACTAAAACACATTGATCTCCATTCTACCCGCTCCAAGGCTAAGCGCTCAAAGGTGTTATGTGCTATATATATGTACTAGCTTAAAAGCCACCCTTATTGGGCAGCATTTAAGCTAGTCCTGGCAGAGGGCTCTTGATTGGGCCTTCATCACAAAAGGTAGGGAGGGGTAGATGCAATAAGCAACAACAGAATACAGAAGAACTCAGAATTGATCACTGCATTTAAGTATTACATTAATATTTAAGCTTACCTTTTAAAAGTTCAACAATAATTCTTCTGCTGCCACTTAATTTAAAGACAATTTGATGTACATAGGTCCTTACTTTCCATACAAACAATTATTTTTATTTCATGTGTGACTTTCATTGGATTTTACAATTAATTTCAATTATTCCCAAATTTATTTCCAAGTTATAAAAATTGTTATCATACAAAAATATTTGTCGCCAAGAAATCATGTAAAATAAATAATTACCAAAAACAATCACAGTAAGGAAAACTTAGGAATCCAAAATTTCAGGACTGCAGGTCCAGATTCAGCTTGAAATGTTTTTAATTTGCTCACGGAGTCTGCCTGATTCCAAAATGGTATGATATGTTGGGCTACAGCTTCTAGGAGTAAAGCTGAAAAAGTGTGACACAGTGACACACTTACATTCACATTTATTATATAGATGTTACTCTATTTTCTTTTTAGTATCCTAAGTATATCCTAATGGAGCTAAATCCTTCTAAATGTTGCCCCAAATGTTCTCTTAACAAGTGATGAAGCCCACTGTCTGCCTGTGTTAATAAGCAGGATTTTCAATCCTAAACAACTTCATGAAAGATGTATACACATGATACAAGATACCACGTGGTGTGCTGTTGTATACAGTGGTACTTGATGTCTTTACTTTTTGGATTAATTGGAAGGTCAAGTGGTTTCAGCAAGCTGCACTTGGTATTTGGTGATATATAAAAAGCTTCTGAAACCAAAGCTCACAGACCTTGGTAGCTCAGATAACTGTTTTCGAGACACTTGATCTCTTTAATCAGTGATGTCATGTGACCTACATGTTTGCCTCATCTCCCCCCATGTGATTATTTTCCCTTGGGCTACCTGAAACCTGAGGTCTACAAACATCAACCAACAATTGATGAGTTTCAGGCTTCTATACACCAAACAATTACAGAAATACTGCTGGAAATGATTTGTGGTGTAATGGAAAAGGCATCGATATTCGGAGGATTTAAAATGATTACTTGCTTACTTATTCTAGTGCATCATTTTACTTACAATTATTGCCACATGGTACAAACAATAGTCAATGCATTATTTAAACAAATTAGCCATAAATATTAAACAGTGGCTTTTTATAGCCATCTGCCACTTATTGCCAGCTAAAATTGTTTACATTTACATAAGTAGCGAAGTAATCATTCTAAGTAACATGTTTAATCAAAATAAGTGCTATATAATTTGTTGCAAATAGAAAACTTCAAAACGAACACGAAAATTAAAATATTTTATATTGAAAAATCTTTCTCTCCTTTTTCTTTGTTGTGGGTTTATTCAAATCCGCAACAAAATCACTGATAATTACTCAATGGTTCAGGAGAGAAGTTAGTATTACATTCATTAGTAGCACTAATAAAAACTAAACTTACAAAACAACCAAAGTGTAATGAAATAAAAGCCATATTTTGTTTATTTTTTAATACTGGGTATGTGCAAATGTTTTCAGTAAAAAAAACGAATTAAAAATTAAAAAAAATTGATTGATGGATACAAAATGTTCCAGTGAAAAACTACTTATCTATTTTTCAAATGGAATGTGCTGGAAATTTTTGCACACACTTTACCTCTTTTACTAATTGTTAATAGCTTCTCCTTACTTACTGACCTTCACTGAAGTAAGCATAAAAATTCCCTAAAATTTGTTTGCCTGGTGGGAGGTGGGGGTCAAAAAACAAATGTTTTTTTTCATGCGGGAAAGAAAAAATAATTAGACAAAATTCAGTTTGGAGTTATTTCCCTTAGATTTTATAACCGCTTACAACTTCATTAATCAATGGATTCTAAATAAATAGCCTTCTATTAATTTAATTTCATAAAACTAATTAATATTTCAGCAGTTTAAATAATATATCTGCTAATGCTAATAAACAACTAAAAAATTAACACCTCCAAAACTAAACTTCTCTCCATTAATCATCTGAGATACCACTCTCTACCTTCCATCAGCATGGCTGATGCTATCCTCAAAGAAAGTTACTCATTGCGCATTCTCAGACTTACATTCTAAACTGACATGAAATGGAAAGACTACATTGAATCTATCACTAGATCAGCTGCTAAGAAATTCGACTCACTGTGTTGGGCAAGACAATTTTTCTCACTGGAATCTTTCTTGCATATCTATAAGTCTACCATTCATCCATGTTTAGAATATCATAGCCATATATGATCCAGTGCCCCTGCTATTTATCTTGAGCTCCTTGATAAAATCCAAAGAAGAATCAGCAATATTATTGGTCCTGGCATCTCAGCTTCAGTCACTTTCCCACCACCATAAGGTTGTCTATCTGTGCCTTTTCTATAAATACTTTCATGTTTTTTTTTTTTTGGATGAGCTCTTTGCTATAGTGCCTAGACTATTTGAATTTAAGCACAGTACTAGACTGGCATCAAGATCTTGTTGATTTACAGTTGGCTAGATGTAACCGTAAATTCTATGCTAAAAGTTTATTTTCTCACATTTCTCACTTGTGGAACTCCCTTCCAGCTCCATGCTTTCCAGCCAACTTTAATCTGCAAGAATTTAAATGCAATGCCAATTGCTATCTGCTGTTGTCCTGATTACTCTTTTCTCTTCCCGCTCATTATTAATGTTTCTGCTTTTAATTCTTCTGCACCCAGTAACCCTATGCGTTTTAGTGGTTTTTCATGAGGTGAAACTGATTAAAAAAAATGTAAATCATAACAAATGAAAATTCTAATGACTAAACTACTAACTTAAAAAAAAAAAACAATGAATAATGAAAACTTGCTCTTCATTAAAAAGCAGATGACCAGCCAATCATAAGTCAATACTTAATATAAACAATTAGTTCCTGAAGTTTATTTCAAGGGAAGTACACCCTTGTGTAAATCAATTGAAGTAAAATGAATAATTTCATTATTAATTATTTTTTTCATATTTTTCCAATGAAAAATGAACCAGTGCACATGTTAGTACTTCATATATCCATTCTACAAAGTGTTTCCTTGCATATTGACTACAGATTCTCAATTGGATTTAAATCAGGAGAGTTTCCAAACCAGTCAAGAGTACTTTGATTTGCTCACTGGTAAGGCTTGCCATTGTGTTCTTGCAGTGTTACAATTTTTGTATATTTGCTTGGAGTAACATCCAACACAGACAATGGCCATAGGACAACTAATTGACAGTCAAGACAATAGTGTCTGGGCATGATGAAAATCTGATGCAATCACAGATGACAATATTTTTTCATCATATGCTCTGAAAACATATTACTGCACACCACTGCAAATTACCTAATCTGAAGAAAAATAGAAATCGATTACACCAATCACTTCACTGACCATATGGTGAATGAAAGGAAACTAAAGTGGTTGTTTCAATTAATTTGCACAAGGGTGTATTTCAGATAGACTTGATTCTCTCTCCTAATGCAGCTTTCAAATAACAATGAATGGTGGCTAGCAAATTACAATAAGCATCAAATACTCCTACACTTAATTATTTTTTTCACAGTTTATTGGATGTTATGAACAGGTTTTGCAGTTATTAGATATCAAGCTATATCCACCCAGTGATGTGCAGAGGTTTTGTGATGTCCAGGGCTAATACCTTGATTGTATGCCCCTAAGACTTTGCTACTCTGATTTCACAATATCAAAACACAGATCCACATCAGCTTGTGGGACTGTAGGGTGCTTGTACAATGAACAGAGACAATTTCAAATTTCAATTTTTATTTCAATCTTTGATCAAATGCCCTCCTGATATGGATACCCAGTGTCGTTGTACCCTCTGTCTCAACCTTCTACACACTACTGCATCCAGCAGATTTACTGTCATTATTATTGGTATTTTTCAGATATGATCTTAATATTTGGTCTCTTGGTGACAGTCATGATTTCAGTCTTACTGACACTGATCTTCATGTCATATTTCTTGCAGCTTGAGTTTAGTCAGTCAGCGTGTTCCTGCAACTGGATCCCATTGTTGTTCATCATTGCCTGGACGTCAGCAAACATGAGTTCATTGAGTGCCTCAGGATCTGGATTGGCCTCCTTTGTAATCAGGTCCATGTAGATCACGATCAGTAGAGAGGTTGCAGCCTTGCCTAACCCCAGATGGTCGTGTTCCATTGCCCTCTCACACAGTTGTTGGAGTGCAAATATTGCATTGGTGCACCCTCTTCCTTTCCTTAAGCCAAATTGGGTGTCACTGGGATGTTCTGTTTTGCTCAAGGATCTTTGCATACAATTTCCCTACATGGATGAGTAGTGATATGCCTCGGTAAGTATTGCAGTCTTTCTTGCTACCCTTCTTCCATATTGGCACCACTATTGCATTTTCCCAACCTCTTGGTACTTTTCTCTCCTTTCAACCTTTCTGAAAGATGATGGAGCCACTGTATTCCTGTTTCACTACAAGCAAGAATGGCTTCATTTGTAATGCCATCATTTCTTGCTGCTTGGGGCTAGTTTTCATTAATATATATTCTGTTTGTATGTTATTTTTATGGATACAACTTATTTTAGTAAATGCTTTAATTAAACAGTGTTAATTACATTTACTGGCCTGAATGTTTGAGAAATTTTGTAGAAAATATGCATTCTCTGACAGGAATCAAACTTGTATCCTATAAGGAAACAATCATTTGGCCTAATGTGCTGTTACCATTCAGCCACAGTGAACTTTCTAATTAGTGAAGTCCAAATTACTGCTATATAAGATCATCAAAAATGTGTGTTTATGAGTAGTAATTTGAACTTTTTGGGGAAATTCTCTTTAGAATAAACATTTCTATCTTGTTTTAGTCTTGCTCTTTTGTTTGTCTATTTTCTCAATGCTTAGTTTTTGTTCAACACACGACCCCTTGTCGTATCCTGTCAGCACTTTTACATTTTGTAAAAACAACTGGAAGAAAAAGCTTAACCAGCATTGTTGGAAAACTGGTTCACGATATAAAGAGACCTCAAAAGCAATCCAAACATGCATTCCATAGCCATGAACGCATTATCATCTCGCAGTTGTGCATTTGTTTTTTTGCAAAGTGCAACTCAGTTGTAGCTCCTGACTGCAGGCACAGTTGCAGCTGAGAAAAATAATACTTTGAGGTGCCCAGCCATGGGAAACAGCTGCCCAAGACTGCACCTTCTAATTGCACTAGAGAGGGGGATCAGTGCTTACCACCAAGGGAAGCACAACCTACAGTTGTGAGGGCTTTGGGAATTTTTGTACCTGGTTCATCTGTACACACTCGGGTTCCCCACGTTAAGCTTGACTTTGTGTTGCATCTGCTCTCAGTGGAGAGGTATGGGTAAATAACTGTGTTCTGCAGCCCAGATGCTATGATCAAAGTGTAGTATCTGTTCCACAGTCATGACCAGCTAAGCTTTGTGCCCAATTCTGCATAAGCAGGGGCTGGGTAAATTTTGACCAATGACCCAAGTGTACACACTCGGGTTCTCCATATTAAATAACTAACCTTGTGTCACATCCTGTTTTAGTGGGGAAACATGGATAAATAGCAGTCTTCTGTGGCCCAGATGACTAGAATCAAAGTGTAGTATCTGTTTCAGCAGAACTTTTGGAAAAGTTGTCTTTGTTAGTAGTTGATTGATGTCAGTTAATAAAAAAGTAGGTACCTTGAAAGAAAAACCAATAGCTAAGGTTTGAAATGCATTTTTGAAAATGGAAAATCTTTCTTGAAACTTTTATTTTAGTTTTAATTTCGAGCACATTGATTAAATTTAATATTTCCAAGAAACAAAATATTTGGTGTATTTCAAAACAAATTTAAATTGATTCGAATGAGAATTTGTCAGTACAATGCAATTCTCTTTATTAAAAAAATCTTTCAAAAATGAAATATGCTTTTCTGAAACTTTATTTGAGGAAGATTAGTTAATTTAAAGTTTAATTAATCTTATTTGAAACAAATATTACTTACTTTTAGCTTAAAACATTGCAGAAAAGCATTTTTTTAACATAGGGTGTTTTTATGAGCTCTTGATGGACTCATGTTTAGGAATTTTTTCTAATGGAGACATAACTGTAACAATTACTTGACATATATAACATGAACACATTTTTTATATAATTTTTTTTGACAACTAAGTAATCTTAAATTTTTTTTAAAATATTCTAATCAATCTAATATTTTATTGAATCTTTGGTACTTTTGTTTTATAAGATAACTTATGAAGATGATTGTTGAGGAAATGTTAGAAAATTAAGAATAAAATTTAACTTTACTCTTCTTATTTTCTGATAATGTTCTCTCAGTTGCGTCTCTGTCTTTGGGCAGAGCACTCAGGAGCAAGGAGGGTTATACTGAGAGGCGCCCAGTCCTGGAGAACAGCTGCTTGAGACCGCACACCCTCATTGCACCAGAGAGAGTGATTGGTGCTCACACTGAGGCCAGTGCAACCAACGGTTGCAGGGGCTACGGGCAATTTTTGTTCCTAGCCTGGGTGTACACGCTCAGGCTCCCCACATTCATTAAACTGACCTTGTGTCACAGCCTGACCTCGTGGAGGGGCGGGGGAGTAAATACAAAAAAATAGACTAAAATAAATTCAAAATTCTTTTTAAAATATTGGGTGGGGTGTTGAACTGTAGTGAGCTTTTCCATTTATGATTAGTAAATATACAGTTTTATCACTTGACCACCACAAATTAATACAGAATTTCAAAAGATTTAAAAGTTTAAAACTTTAAATTATTCTAATTAAAATTTTTAAAATTCATTATTCATTGAGTTTTTTTTAAGAAAATAGTGTACGTACATTTTAAAATCAGTTAAAATAAAAAAAAATTTTCTAATTTTTTAAGCCTTAAGGTCTTAAAGCATTTTTTTTTATTTTAGTGCTAATTTTCTGTAACTAGAGACCCTGTTTGACACAAAAAAAATTCCTGATTTTAAATTCTTCGAGGACTTACCCTTAAATGTAAGTAAACATAACGCTACAAAAAAAATTTCTTGAAATTAAAATTAAATGGAGATAAAAAAATATTTTTACAAAGCTTTTCGAAAAAGGAAACATTTTAAAAATAATTGAATTAAACTTATTTTTTAAATAAACCTTTTCTCAAAGTGAGATAAATTCTGTTCTTATCGATTTCGACACTTTTTCTTTCATACACGAAATGAAAAAAGTAAATTCAAAACTAAAAAGTTTTATAAAGAAAAAAAAACAAACTTACTTCATGGTGCAGTCGCTTTCCGATGAATAGAAAAAACTCATCTGTACATAGCAAAACTCTTGCTAAAAACGTAATTCACCTGTTGCTTACATCCGAGAAACAAACCAAAATTAGTAATGCACATTTGTCAAGACTGTCGACATCGAATTGAAATACAAAAAAAAAAAAATGACAAATCGATTTCTCGTTGCTAATAAACATCCAGTGTGTTTATTATTTAGCATTTAGTTTCGTACAAAGCGTTAAAAAATGTAAGTAAATGCATCCATCTATCATTAATATTATTATTATTGATATTGATATTATTGCTAGTGATATTATTATTAGTAGTAGTATTAGTATTATTTTAAATGCATTATCGATCCATATTATTGATATTATTATTATTATTGCTATATAAATGCATCCATCCATCCATCCATATTATTATTATTGCTATAGTTATTGTTGATGATGATGATACCATTTACATTAATCTTATATGGATTCCTTTGCTTATTTTAATCCACAACACTTATTGTAGCTTCTTTTTTTTTTTTTACTGGTTGCACTTGATGAAGTACTGCAAATTCACTTGACCGTTTACCGGGCACGCCTATGAAAACAAAGCTGTAGCGATATTAATTTTGTCATTGTTTTTAACGAAATTTAATTCGTTTATTAGGGTTAATGCTTTTTTTTATTCGAGTGTGATATTAATTTTAGCCGAGGATAATTCAACTGTTTTGGTAAAATACGTTAAAAAAAAAAAATGCTTGGCTATATTGCTACCGCGTCGGCTACTACTGTTTTTTAAGTGTGCCCGGTAAACGGTAGTCGTGGCGGGAAATTTATGTTGATATAAAAATTAAGAAGATTATATGGCTATTTTTGTTTAACTTTATCTAGAACAAAGCCACGGGTATGGAATACTCTGTGAGAAGCGAACTCACATTTCACTTTCAGTAATAAGTGTCTGCTTGAAAACACGGTACGAGATGGAACACAGCAGACGCTTGTGTTTTGTTTGAAAAATATTTGCAGTCTGTTAAGCTCCTAAGTTAAGGGCTGCTGTTTCTCTTATTGGCGATCACTTTTTTATTTTGTTGTAGAATTTAATTCCATGAAAATCAAACACACACACACACACAAAATCAAATAGTCTTTTCAAAAGATCATTTAATTTTGGTGGGGAGGGAAGTTTACCAATATAAAATTAAATTGAACTTGTTGAGTGTTTACTGTAACTAATATTGTAAAGTAAGCAAAAAAAAAAAAAACATTTTTACGTCTGACAATAAATTCAGTTTTTGTTTCTTGCTTATTAGATTGTAATTATATCATTTTATTTTATTTATTTATCTATTTTTAATAATGTTTCCAAATCTAGGTACACATTATTTTTTTTTTAACTTTTTACGCCGAAAGATACGAATCTACTGAAAGACGCTAGCTCTGCAATATACTCAAAAATGTCAGTGAGGAAGATGTAGATTGGTGCTGTTTATATATATATATATATATATATTATATATATATATATATAATATATATATATATATAAAAATCAACTCGGAGGAGGATGTCCGCTAATTCAACAAATGTGTCCTTGTCTGGAGAGATTATTCACCTGAATGTTGGCGGCACAAGGTTAAGATATTTCTAGACTAATTTTCAAAACCGTTTTCTTCTTTTTCGTATTCATTCATTTATTTTTCTACCATGCGTGCTATAATTTGAGCGATTTGATTGTTTTTATTAGAACTTTCAAATGATTTCTCAGTCAATTTTAAGATTTGTTTCAGTGTTGAGTTCGTGATGTTATTCGTCATTGTGGTCCCGTAATTTTAAAGGGTATTTAAAAAAAATTTGTAACATCTAGTAGCCTTGTCATTGTCATAAACTTCCTGGATTAGTAGTTGTTTTTTTTTTTTTTTTTTAATTACGTATTGATTGATTGACTAATATTCCCTCAGTACGTTAATTAATGATTAATTTTAAATCTGACTGTTATTTTAACAAATTTCTATTTTTTTTTATATTAAAAAGCAACATCAGTTTTTTTTTGTTTTTTTTTTTAACATTTAAGTACCCTTATCAGCTTGAGACTGAATCATTTGTTTTTTTTTTTTGTACTTTTGTTTATATTGCGTCACATCGATTTTTTTCTTGTAATATATATATATATATATATATGTGTGTGTCTTTATTATTATTATTTTATCCACGTAGTTCCTTCTTTTCCGTATCACCTTTTTCCCCCCTCTCTGTCGTCACATTGGATTTGAAAACAATCTTAAAGCGTTAGCTTTATTTTATTAATTTATAATTATGTCATCATTTTAAAAAAATGTACACTGTGTGACACTACACACAAATCCTTAAGTGAAAGTCTTTAGTTTTTAAACGTAAAAAGGTCACAAGAGTGTTGAACAAAACCGCTTTATACCACAACAATGTAGTCGTCACTCTCCCCTCCCATGTTGAATAATCCGAAATCCCATTTTACTTTTATTTTTGAAATCATCCATGTTTTTCTTTTGTTTATTTGTTACTGATTGAAAAGAAGACTTACAGCTGTCAACAGATTTAAAAAAAAAATGCGTTTCAATAACACGAGCCTGTTCAAAGAATTGCTGTATTCGATCGTCATCGTCTGTAACCTGCTTGTGTCAGCAATTAAAGCACCTGCCGTTTTTTCACCTTTAACAAACATGTGCACATAATTGTTGCTTCCCCGCCAGCTAATTAACCTTTTATTGTCCGACCTCTAATTATCACGTCAATGTTGTATTTTTAGTTTTATTTATTTTTACTTATTTGTTAATTCATATTTGTAATTTACCGTGGTACGATTCCCCCATCTTTTTTATATTTACTATTTGACATCATCCTTCATGGCCATTATTGATCGATTATTCATTTTTAGACAAACAAAACAGAAAAAAGTACATTTTTTAAAATGAAATATTTATTATTTATTAATTGATTATATGACTCGATTAATTTGTACTCTAATTTAATAAATTTTTTGTCCATTTTTCGAATGATTCGTTGGTATATTTTTTTAATCTTTTGATTTTTTTTTTTTTTTTAAATTTATTTTTAAAGTAATTATTCTGTTCGTAAAAAAGCAATGTTACTGCTACAGACTAGTTCATAAATAAATAAATCAATAATTCTAATTTTGAAACATGGAAATTCCCAGAACCCAACTTACGGACACGCCACTTCATATCGTCATCTGATGTGACTCAACTCAATCAATTTTAACTTTGCTTTCATTCTTTTCTTGGAATGAATTATTTTGGTTGTAAAATTTTACGATATTACAACTGCTAATGACTGTCGTTAGTCTTTTATGTTCTTTTATTATTTAAGGCGAATTCACTAAACATTTTTTTTTTTTTTATAAAATTAAAAATTCCAATAAATAATCGAAACTGAAACTAACTTTCGGTTGAGTTTTGTTTTGTTTTGTTTAGTTTGTAGAATCAGATTCCTACATTTTTTTTTTAAATCTTAAATTTTGTGCAAGTTAAGCACATAGAGGCTCCCAACCAGATATAACAACTGATGTATTTTGATTGGTTGTAAAATATTAATTAGGTGTCGTCAACTACGTCCGAAGGTACCGACCCAAATTTTGACCTCTAGTTGACGCCATAAAATGTAAACATGTTTACGAGCCTCCCCACGTGACCAAGAGAACTAATAAAAACGAAACTTCGACGCGACTTGGTCAGTGGGCACTTAAAATATTGAACCAATTCACTTGACTCCATTGGAAATCAACATAGCAAAGGAGACGAACTTTATCTTCAATACAACAACAATCTTTGTCAACCATCTCCAGGCTTAGTGCTCACTCCCACAAAATATTCCATTCCACAAGAATCTCTGGTTAATGAGCGATAACTCTATAACAATCAGTGAGTCAAGACAATACTTTTTTCTATTTATACACAAAAAAACAATTTAATTTTCCTATAAAAACAAATATAGCTAACTAAACCTTGTCATTTTCACACATACAGTACAGTAACTCAAATTCTTTCAGTAACACACACACACACACAAAAGAACTCTATTGTGTTTATCAACTTTTGCATTATATATTATGTATTTGTTGTGTTAAAAAAAAATATTTATTGTTGAACAAATTCACGATTTCTTCTACTTGATTATTTCTCTTGTTGTTGTCTTTGTTACATTTGATATTGTAAAAATTGTAGAGGGTCAGTTTTTATTTCTATTTATAACCAATACAAATTGGCTGACCCCCTATAAGTTTATAGTCGGTCTAATGCTCTAGGGCAGAGCTTCTCAACCTTGTTTGCTCCATGCACACCTTTCACCATTTGTCAGAATGCCATTTCCCCACCCCTTTTCAAGGTGACAGGCCAAATTCTATAATTGCTCTAAACCAAAAAAAAACTTACTGTGCTCACAATTCACCCCTGAAAATCCCAAATTCACCCCGTGAGTGAATTTCACTCCTGTTGAGAACCTCTGCTCTAGGCGAAGGCATGACTCTAATTTTCGCACTCTGTCCCTTCACGAAACTATCTAGAAAAATGTCTTGTCACAGTGTCTGACAGACTAGAAACGGTGGATAAGTAAGTACCGTAATAGCTAATACCATGAACTTAAGCTTCTCAATTATCATCTGAATGAAGGAGACCTATCATTTCTGTTTGATAGTGCTTATCAGGTACTGTTTTTTTTTTTTAAATTTTGTAAATGAGTTAAAAATCATAATCTACTGAAAATAATATATAAAAACCCCTATCCATTTGGCTAATTCCTGTGTGCGTGAATCACTGGATAATCCATCTGGATTTAGCCAAAAAACCTGTTTTGCAAACATTTTTATTAATATATTCATAAGTAAGAAGGGGGTACAAATGAAAAGATTCCAGATTTACAACTTTTTTTTTTATTTATGCAGTCATAGGTTAACCACATAGGTCATTGTGAATGCCATGATCTTGTTAATGGCTACATAGTATGCACTATGCCAGGACTACATACAGCTTTGAAGTTTCTTTTTTTTTTAAACAATGATCTTCACTCTGTACAAAGCCGGCAGCCACTCAATGTAGAGTTTTATAAAGTAAGGGGCACAGTTTATATGGATATGTGGGGAAGATAACAGTTGACACTAAACTTGCAGAGGTTAAGATTATAGCAATCAAGGAAGAATCCTCTTGGGAGTTAGTGCTACAAAGCTGCAGTTAGTGTTATGAAGCTGCTCAAGTGGAACTTGCATCTCATGAAGGGAATGAGGGTGGTTCACTACAATGTGTGTAGCATGGCAGGTTTTAGCTGTTAAGGTTAGAACTGATGGAACTAAAGAATGTAGTTCATCTGAGCAGTTTCTATGGAAATAGCAACAGAGCAGTAAGAGGCTTGTGACATTTCATCTGTGAGAAAGGGGTCATAAGGTGGAAAATAATTCATCACAAGGATGCAAAGATGTTTTGGGGCACTATCAAGACAAGTGAGGACTGTACAGCTCCTGCTCCTATATGGCAACACTTCATTTTTGGCCTAATATGGCTCTTATAAAGGTAGAGGATAGTATGATAAATCAGGAGGTATTTACTGGAGTGGTACAGAGAACTGACAATTTTTTTAGCATCTTTAGTGATGGATCATGTATGACTTCCACTTGAGGTCTGGGGTGAGTTTACGCAGTTTATGGTAATTTTCTTAGTTTTTACTTAATATATTTATTTCTTGTCAATATGTCTGTCGGTCTTTAAAATAAATACATTAGAAAAAAAACTTGAAGGTATGTGGTAATAAATTAAGTTATACAGGGTGTCTGTAAAGTTCGTGTGCACTTTAAAAAATTTATAACTTTATTTGTATTTGTGATAGAAATAATTTGTAAAAAGGATTAGAAAAAAGTAAATATATTTTTTAAGGTTTTATTGAAATTTTATTTAAGTTTCCACATGTCCTCCATCATTAGCAATACAAAAGGTAATACGATTTTGCAGTTCACGGAAAGCATTTGCCAACTGATTTACAGTAATGCCTGAAATCACATTAGTTATTTTAGCTATACTTAAAACTAGGTACATTAAACTTTATAACATTTTTTACAGATTATTTCCATCACAAATACAAATAAAGTTATAATTTTTAAAGTGCACACGAACTTTATGGACGCCCTGTATATACTGGAGGTAATTTTTGAATGCTTGTATAGAAAAGAAAGTCCCCACAAACATGCACACACAGTGATACAATATGGTTAGTTATGCAATAGAAAATATGGACAGTCCCAAGGGGATGCTTCTTGTCCTCAGGGATTGTGAGAAATCTCTATAATTCAAATGGTGAATTAAAAAAGAAAATTTCTAATTGCTCAACAGTGAAAGGTTTTTATATCACATTTACTGCTTTATCACTATTTCTACAGCAAATGTTCAGACGAGCTACATTTTTTTAGTTCCACTATTTGAGACGTTCATGTGCTAGGACCTTCTGTGACATGTAAACATCCTCATTCCCTTTGTATTCCATTGGTACAGAAAAAAACTCCACTTGGACAGTTTCTTTTCTAGAACTTTTACTTTGTGGAACAGACTCCCGAGTGGATGCTTTCCTCAATCACTACAATCTTAACCTCTTCAAGT